AAATCACACCATATTTTTTCTTCAAACTGTAATTTGAATGAGCTTGTTAATCTATGAGAAATAATGGTGAGAAGTTTCTTTGGTTTATTTACAGCAAAATGCTTTTCTTAGTCATCTGTTTTATTGAATTAGTAGGCAATTAATTATATCAAATGGAGACAGGTTTCAAACTCACAGACTGACAAAAATATTAGCAAAAGAGGTCAGACGAGCAATAGTGGAACTATTTTAAGAAAACAGGTGCTTTTAAATTTTTTTAACAAAATTCATATTATTAATAAAATGTAATCTCATCACTATTACCATTATTTTGTTTTTCTTTGTCTTTAACAACTTTACTGAGATAATTCGTATACCAAAACTTGACTCATTGAAAGTGTACAATAAAGTAGTTTTTAGCATATTCAAAGTTGTTTAACCTTTAGCACAATCTAATTTTAAAATATTTTTATTACCCAAAAGGAAAATCTGTATGCACTAGTAGTAACTCCCTATTCAACAACTCTCCCCATCGACTCCACCCCACACACAAGAACATAGACCTACCATCTGTTTCTATAGACTTGTCTATTCCGGAGTTTTCAAATACATGGAATCATACAATTCCACTGTATAAACAAAAGCTAAAGTTTTCAAGATTCAACAATATGGCAGCATGCACTAGTGCTTCATTTCCTTTAATAGCTGAAGCATATTCCTTTGTATGAATATACCATGTTTGTTTTTTAATCAAATTCATCAGTGGAATGGCATTCAAGTCGCTTCTCCTTTTTGTTATTATGAATAATCTAGATATGGACATTTATGTACAGTTTCTTGTTTGAACACCTGTTTTTAATTCTCTTGGGTATATTACCTAGGAGTGAAATTGCTGCGTCACATACTAACTTTACGCTTAACATTTCAGTGAATTGCTAAACCATTTTACAAAGAGGCTATAACATTTTAAAATCCAGTCAGGAATGTATGAGGATTCCTATTTCTCCACATTACTTATCTAACTTATTTTAGCCATCTTAATGTTGTGAATAGGTGTTTCATTGTGGTTTTGATCTTATTCCCCTAGAACTAATGACATTAGACATCTTTCGCTTACTTATTTGCCATTTGTGTATGTTCTTTGGAGAAAGAGCTGTTCAAATCTTTTGCTTATTTTTAAAATTGAGACCTAGCAAATTATTGCAAATAGTAAATGCTCAATAAATAAACATAAAATAAGTGGGAATGGCTTTCCTTTTTAGGGTTATTTTTTGCTAATTAATGGATATTAAATTATAAGTGTTATTCTTTTAAAAGTTCAATTAAATATTAGAATAAATACTATGGAATGATAGGATGGTTATTCATTTTGCAGATCATCTAGTATATAAAAGCAAATGAATAAATAATGTCTGATATCTCAAATATGATTTAAAAAAAACCTTTAGAATCTTAGCAAACTATAAACAGGAATAAAAAGAAAAAAAAATCACATCTAGGCATATTATAATTGAACTGCTGACCAAAAATTAAAATAAAGTCTTAAGTCAGCAAGGATTACTAATCTAAATAAAGGAGGATGGGGGAAGAAAACAGTTGGGCAAACAGAAAACAGAGTGAGTTTGTACAGTAAAACCTGAATTTATCAGAATTGCATTGAGTGTAAATGGTCCAAATACTCCAATGATCAACTGAGTATCAATCTGAATGAAAAAAGGACACAAACCTAACTCTGTGCTGCTTACAAGAGATAAGTTAAAGACACAAGAAGTTTGACTATAAAATGATATAAGCATATATAAAAACAGCCAAAAGTAAACTGATGGTTACATTAATATCATACAAAGTCGATTTTAAGTCAACAGCATTATGTTAAAAAACAAAATCCATCCAGCTAAATTTTAAAGATCAAATTGGCTTTATTCAATGATTCATGAATTGATCAGCATCCCATCCAGCAAACAGAAAGCTCCGTTGAGCTGCAGGGAAGAAAAATTTTTAAAGGCAGGGAGAGAATGGAGAAAAGGAAATTATTAGCAAAGAATGCATTGTTTTAGGCTAGGTTGCCCTCCTAAGGGGAATGGAAGGGACCTATTAGTAAATTGCCTTCTGGTGCTGACCAGGAAACTCCAGGTTGTCTGGTTAAAGGTCACATTCCTAGAGGGAGTAAAATGGCAGTGAGGTTAGGTATTAAGTCTTGATTTGCTGATGTGGGGCCTTAACATAAGTGATTACCTGTGGGGTCTTCTTTTTAACAATCATTAGAGAAAAAAGTATATGCCATAACGAAAACAAATCTCAAGAAAATATAACAGTTCTAAATCATTGTGTGTGTAATCACAGAGTCACAAAGTAAGAGAAGAATAACAAATCCATTGAAGAGATCCATTTGTCCTGTTGATGAGGACAAAAAGTAATGGTAACTCTCGTAGTCTATTAGTAAGGAGGTAAATTCATACTACCACTACAAAAAACTGAAGTAGCTACTATGTTTGTTTTATGACCCAGTAGTTCATATATATTCGATAGAATGCTAATTTATTCAGTAGAAATGTTTACGTATCTGAACCAAAGAATATATACTGAAATACTCATGACAGCACTATTCATAATAGCTCCAAACCTGAAACTGCTCAGATGTCTGTTAATAGTAAAATAAAGTGTACTCTATTCATACAATGGAATGTTAAGCATTAATGAGAATTAATGAACCATTGCTACACGTAAGTAAATGGATGAATCTTACCAACATGTGTTGAATGAAATATGACAAACAAAAAAGGTACTATATAATTCTAGTTATACAAATTTTTAAAACAGGAAAAACTAATTTATGGTGTTAGAAGTAAAGAAGATAGTTCCCTTCCTAATGACTAGGAAGTGGCACAAGGTAGCCTTCTTTATTCCAGTTATGTTCTCTTCTCAATTGTGTGTGTGTGTATGTGGTTAAATGAAATTGGTAAGCATGGGGATATTTATTTAGCTCTGTGTTTATGGTTTTATCAACTTTCTGTATGTATATTATATTATGACTATTTGTTTTTAAAGATAGATTATGTATTTGGCCCCTACTTCCATGTAGAAAATGTTTTCCTAAAGAAGTTTCATTTGAAGTGAATCTTCAGAATCACACAGAACTAATTTATAACAAAGACCACCAAACTTCCCAACTACGTGACCTGAAGGAAATTAAGAAAGCTCTATCGGTGGAAATTTGGATGTATTTTTTTCAGTGATAACTGGCAATGTAAATGTTCCTACACACCACTGTGACTAGATAGACTATATAAATGATAAAAAAAATAATATATCGATATCTATATGATATGATATCTATAGGAGATATCAATATGGTATTATGACATATACAGGACATTATAGATACATGTGGCATTATAGATATATATGACATATATATAAAATAATATTAATTTTATTATATTAGGTATAGTATATATACATATATAATACTAATGATTTTGAAGATTATCCAAGAGATTATTGAAAACCATTGCATACTTTAAAAAAATCAATTGTTATAATGACCATTATAATACAAAGTTCAATTTCTGGAAAAGCAAAATGCTTATAAAGACAAGTAAGTCTTTCTCTTACTTTTTCCTCCTAGATCCCCTCCTGGGAAGTAATTGCTATGAACACTTTGTTGTTTATTCTTCCATTTTTTGTTTATATTTTTCCCAGCACAGTATTCTACACCTTATTTATTTTTCCCCCACATAAGTAAATCTTGCAGACAGTACATTTTTGTACATATGGATCTGTTCCTTTCATTTTAATGGTTACATAAATTCCATTGTATTAATGTGACACAATTGATTTCACTAGTCTTTTTCCGATAGATATTTAGCTTTTCCCCAATTTTTTCTATCTGTACTGCATACAATGCACATTTTTAAACATTCATCATTTTACATGGATGAATATAGCTATAAGATGAATTCCTAAAAGTGAAATTGCTTAGTTAAGTGATACGTGGATTTTTAATTTTGATTGATAATGCTTCATAGCTTTCCATTAAGTGGAAGCAATTTACCTTCTCATAAGCCACGTATGACTTTAAGCATCTGTGTTTTAGAAAAATAATTCCGTGTTAAGTTGGACCATGGCAAAGAACAGCGATATGTGGGATGCTAATTCAGAAGCTAATACAGTAATAGTCTATGCAAGTGGTCAGGGCAAAGGCAGTAAGAAGTGAGAGGAAGTAACAATTTCAAGAAGTATTGAAATAGTTGAGTTGAGAGGATTGAGATAATGACACCTTTGAGTGCTCTATCCATAATGGCCTTAAGTATATCTTTTACTAAATCATCCAAACTGAGGTCCCAATAATTCAAGAGACATCCAGTCCATTACCACCTCAACCTTTGACTTGTCAGCCTTTCAGTTCCTTTTGCCAAATCCTCACTTCATTAAAGTGCTACTAAAATGAATTCCTTTTGTCAGATGTCTCCACTATTCTCCATTAAGCCATTAATACAGGCTCTTCTCTCTCAAGACCTTTGGCCCTAAAGGTTAGCGAACTTGAAGTTCAAGTATTTGGCCTTTATCATTAAAAGCCTGAAAAAAAAGCTATTCTTAAATCTTTCTCCATGTTTAACCTCCAAATTATATCAGGTCCAGCATTAACAACTCTATATTCCCTAGAGGAGAGCTGTCCTCATAATTTACATGTGGAGAAACATTTGAATTTCCTCTAGAGAAACTGAAGTTTATCAGGGAGTACAAGCAGCAGCTCTTGATTCTTTGCATAAATTCTTCACCAGAGACCAACCAGTATCCAAAATCGTTTTGAGATGCATGAGATACTTTTTCTTCCTGACATGAGAACCCCATAAACCCTGTCACTCTTTCAAATGCGATTAGCTTATAAATTTGGAAGAAGGTAATGAAAGTTAAAACTGTGATGCATTTTCTCTTGTTGAAGGAAAGTAAGACAGATTCTCTGATATTGTAAAACTTTTATTAATCAGTTTTGCTTGGACCTGTAAGACATTTGACAATCTCACATTGACATAATAACCTCATAGTGGTCTTCCCACTTTCCCTCCCCAGGTGGCATAACTAGCTGATGACAACATAAGAACAGGTTAAGGGACAGAAAAGGTAGTGTGATCCCTGGAAAGGCTTAATAAGGGCTTGAAGTTGATCTTCTACCGGTAGAGATGTCTGTGGAGGATGGGCATACCAGATATTTCGTTCTGGCTTAGATGCAAACTTCATGCCGTTACTTTTTTGAAATCTGAAGCTGGTAGATACAAAGTTGAGAGGCCTGGGGAGCAAACAAATAAAAACTAAGCTAAACAAACCTGTACTTTTGAAGCAGTCGGGATATTTTCTGCTTTCCAATTGTTAGAGACTTATATTCTACTTTCAGAGAGGCTGTTTTATTGTTCCAGGAAAACCGTGCACTGAAAATGTGCTTTTTAATTTTGAAGATGTAAAGCGGTGATGTGACTCCAAGGGATGCAATTGCTCTGTAAGAAAATGTAAAGGTTGGCTACGTTGCAAGTAGACTAGCATATCTGCAGATTGTGCTTCCCTTAGAGGAATTTTTTTTCCAAGTATGGATTTAGAATGTGCTGTCTCTGACAATTATGGCAAGCCCTGGGGGGAATCCTTATGAAAACAATGGCCACAAGACATGAGCAATAGAGACCTCATAGGACTTAAAGACGGGTAAGCCCTACTAACTTGGGCTTGAAGAGAAACTGTACATTGGAAATGAATCAGGCTTGGCTAAACAACAGACTATTGCATTGAACTGCTGATGTCCCACACTATTATTATTCAAGACAAATAATTTGCTTGAGAGGAAAGGGGTTGAGGCACAAATATTGTTTCCAAGAAACTGTTCTTTTGAAGGCATCAGGCCAGACTGCACCTCTGTGGTTGGAGGTAGAATCTTCCTTAAAAGAAGTAGAAATGCTCATGACAACCACCCTGGGAACAGGTGAAACTGGGGAGAGAAATTCAACTTGGTAGGTCTTAGATTAAAAAAAATAATAAAATAAAAGACATTGTTTGTTCTACTCTGGGTAGTAGGATTGTCAAGCTCAAGAACACCCCTTTAAGTATGGGAGGCAGAGGAATAAGGAGGGAGGGAAATTGGCCATCACCACAAAGATTCAGGCTAGAATAAACAGAAGCCATTTTGTGAGGAAGGTCCTAATGTAAGGCTAGTTTAAGTGGTACTTTGAGCTGACATATCTAATACTAATTATAAATTACATGCAGGTTTGTTTCTATTATATTTTAATTTTCAGCATCCTCAGTGGAAGATTAAGATCATGCCCATGCTTGAGATAAAGGACAAGAGAGAAAAAAACCCATTCAGAGACAACATACTTACTTGTTCTTTCTGCAAATGTTTGTCATATCTGCTGTATACCAGGCACTATTCTGGATGCAGGAAATAGACTGGTGAATGAGGCAATGTCTCTCATAACACTCACATTCCAATGTGAAGATATCAATAAAATAGAGAATCACCACTTTAAAAGTAAACAACCAGACAATATAAAAAATTAAATATTAATGTAATTAAATTAAAAAATTAAAAATTAATACTATTAAAATAATAAAATAAGAATATATATGTATGTGTGAACTCAACCCTCACAACAGGCCCCCATTTCCATTTGGCAATCTATGTTGTCCATGATCCATGATCTATGACACCATGGTGCCAGGGTTGAACATGTGACCTACTTTAAGGCAATCAGTACATTCTCTTCACTAAAATGATAGGTTTGGGGATAGGCAATTGCCCCAAGATGATTCAATCATCTTTCAGTTTTCTAAGAATTTCTGAGGCTAATATATGAAGAAGGAAGCATACTCCTTTGAGCTGCTAGAAGCTATATTTATATCACGAAGGGAAAAAAATCCTAGGATGACTGCAATAGCATTAAAGGAGAAGTAGAAAGCCAGAAAGAAGCTTTGTCCTAGGGAACATTATTAAGTCAAACTTAAGCATTATCTGAGAAAAATGCCACCTCAAGTTTTCTAGTTATACAAGTCAGAAAGTTCCTTTTACTATTTAAGCCAATTTTTGCCATGTTTTTTCATTGTTACTTCCAACAACAACAAAAAATTATAGCATAAATTTGCCTATAGAATGGAGACTGGCTTAGAGTTCATTATAGTGCAGTGACTGGTAATGCTTGTTAAGTGACCTGGAATTCTTACGGGAAAAAGGGATGGACAAAATCCTCACATCAGATCAAAAGAATATAGAGTTTAAGATTAAAATACTCTAACATCACATCTATGCCACAACTTATGCTCAATGATTTTTATATTACCCAAAATGTATATATGTGAAGTTTTTGTTCCAAGATGCTTGGAACCCCTGGAAAGGGACTCATCAATTTTCCTCATAATATCTCTCTAAAGTAGTCATATTATAAGTAGCATTATTCATATTTTACATAAAGCAGGAGCAATTTCAAATTCTTATAATCCCATTTATCTAAAAATATGAAACTATTCACTCCAAACAGACTGTATATACCTTGGCAGTGAGACATTTTGGTCCTGAGCTGCTTTAAAGTTCAGTTCATAGAGCAGCTAAATACTTAAGATTTTAGACATTTTTATTTTATTTTATTTTATTTCTTATTTATTTTTATTTTCTTAAAGATTTAATTATTTATTTGAGAGACAGAGAGCATGGGTGGGGAAAAACTTAAGCAGACTCTGCACTCAGCACGGAACCCTATGTGGGGCTCCATCTCACAACCCTGAGATCATGACCTGAGCCAAAAACAAGCCGAAACCCACTGTGCCACCCAGGCACCCTGAGTCTTTAGGCATTTAAAAAAAATTTTTTTTTTTGCAGTGGCAAACCTGGGAAGAAAAAACTTTTTATATGCTAACACGTATTTATACTTATATATTCTAGCTAAACTGTTTTCAAACCATATTGTCATCCTGTTAAGAATTAATATTTCATTTTACCATCAGAAAATAAATGAGAACTAACATGATGTCATCAAATGGGACAAAGTTTTGAGATATTATTTTAATAATAATATTAATAATAGTGAATGATAAATTTAATATTGATTCATTAAGCTTATCCACCTATTCCAACTTAGTATTTCTTTGGACTAGTAATGCATATTTTGAGATACCATTTTTCTGAGTTAGAAACAGTCTATGGCAAGAAATTATCTACATTAACCAACTGAGACAATTGATTAATTAACTGACAATCACTGCTTTGCTAAAAATGAGCAGATAATTAGCATGACTTCTCATAATAATTTGTGAGTTTTTGTCTCATTTTGTAATATTAAACATTGCACATACATTGAGATTACAGTTAGTTAACTTACACTAGGCACATTATCATCATTAAATGAGTATATTTTGCCTATATAGATTGCCACTAAGTCAGGTGCTATGGCTTAATGAGCTTAATTTTAAACTGGTCTATGATTGCTGTCAAAATAGTCAAGTGTTCCTTAAATATTTTTTAAACAAAAAAAAAAAAAAGAAGAGAAAGAGAGAGAGAAATGGCCTATCTACTATAGACTATGCTAGAAACTAAATACATTTTAAAATTTACTTCTTATAAAATACCATTAAAATGAAGTAATAATGAATTTTTGTAAAGGTAGGTTCTTAGACAATGTTACTGGAAAATGAATCAACTTTAACTCTTAAATACATTACTAGGAAATTCATTTTGTTTGCACATCACTTGAAGCTACTAATTGAAATATCTTAGCCACGAAGAGTCACCTTAGATACTGCAGGGTCGTGACACAGAAAAGTTATTTCCAGTAAATTTTTCTCCTGAAATTAATGAAGTATCAACAATTAGAGGTTTCTGTGACTCAGGTAAAAGTCATAGTCAATTTAGAATGGTTTTAATAGTAAGTAAAAGTTAGAATTACTGCTTTTAAAAAATTATGAGCTGGTTTTAAAATTAAAATTTTCAAATATACACCAGTTCCTTTCTAAAGTTGCTAAAAATATTAAAGCAATGATTTTTATAGCAGTTTTTTTGGCACAGGTGATATGTTAATTGGTATAAAAAAATCTAACTTCTGGATTAGACAATGTAGAAAATTGACCAAATATTGAAAAGAACAATATTACATTAATACGGGTGACACTTAATTTGTGAATTATCTAAAAAATAAAATGCCTAAGAATAAAATGCCTCTACCTTTCAATTAACAGCATTAAGAGCATTCATCCTCAAAACTTACTCAGGATTTTTCATTTGAATTTGTATGTTAACAGCACAGAGTAGTTGACCACACAAAGTAAATTGGTTAACAAATGTTTGAGTGGAAACATCCCTTAAGTTCACTTCATAAAGGAATTTCACTATTATCTGTTTAATTTATGTCCCATATGTGATATGCATAAGCACACACACATATAAAGCAAAGTAATTTTCATTATAGAACTCCTCGTTGCATCTTCAACCATGATTTATTGTGCTGAAAAGAGATTCAGGTTTGGGTAGGGATTTGAGGGAATAGTTGAGTAGCAGATGTAAGGTAAAGAATATTCAGGTATAGAATATGAATTCAAGGATGAAGTGGGGAATGAGGCAGTTTCAATAAAATTGTTACAGTAAATTATACAATTTAAGGAAAGTAAATTTTAACAAGAATTTTATAAAGCAATTCATCAACTTAAAGCAATTGTAAGCCCCAAATAAAGTTACATATTTTTAACCCACTCATCTTGTTCTTGAGAATTGATTCTTAAAGAAAATATATAAAAATTGTGAGGGATGGAGATCAACTGTACAGAATGAGGATGGTCTTTTCAGTGACAACATTTATACTCACATATGCTAGAAACAATCTAAAATTCCAATATTGTACAATTAGCTTGTTTATTTCAGATGCACCTACTTGATGAAATTTTTACATTAATTTATTCATTTAGCAAGCATTTATTGAGTGCCCACTCTAATTCAAGAAAATGTCCTTGGGGTGCCTGGGTGGCTCAGTCGTTAAGCATCTGCCTTCTGCTCGGGTCATGATCTCAGGTCCTGGGATCAAGCCCCGCATTAGGCTCCCTGCTCTGCAGGAGGACTGCTTCTCCCTCTCCCACTCCCCCTTGCTTGTGTTCCCTCTGTAGCTGTGTCTCTTTCTGTCAAAATAAATAAATAAAATCTTAAAAAAAAAAAAAGAAAATGTCTTAAGTGTTAGAGTGGTAAAAAACAAAATTGTTCGTGATTCCTGTTTTGTTGGAATTAACTACTAGTCATCATCAATTATAATACTCTTCAATGTTATA